AGAATGGCACAGCAGAACGAGCCAACTGCACAATTGCAGAGGCCATCACTGCCATGCTAAATGAGTCACATCTCCCACCATCATTTTGGAACCTCACTCTCCGAGTATTCATTCATGTCTGAAATCGCATCCCCACAGATCCTCTTCCAAACACCACACCCTTCACAGAATGGGACTCAAATCACTGAAAACCAGATATATCCCACTTTCATGTGTTTGGATGTCTTGCATATGTGCTAGTATGAAAAAAGAGATGTCAAGCATTAGAGTCACACACCCAAAAATGTATCTTTGTTGGATATCCAGAGGGAGTAAAAGGCTGGCTATTCTGGAACTCTTCTACACAGCAGTTTATCACCTCCAGCCATGCTGTATTCAATGAGCATGTATTTTCTGGAAATCACAAAAATATTATAAATCCTCTTGATGATGATACATCTCCTACAAACAGATATAACAGCACAGATACTGCTATACCTGATGCGGTGATGCCTCATCAAGGGGGAGAGAACATACCTACTGATAAGCTATCTCCACCATCTGAGCAACTCCCATCATCATCATCATCACCATCCTCACCAGCTTCATCCACTCTATCAAATATGCAAACACCTCCAGAATCACCTCTTACTCTATTATCAAGTCTTCCAACATCTCCTACACCCTCTTCACCACTTTTACATCCTCGGGCATGCTTCGAGCCACAATATGACTCTAAAGGTCTTATAATCCCATCTCCAAACACTGGATGTGGTTTTCACTGTAAACATTCTGGCACCAATGTGATGAACTCACCAGACTCAGATGAACTCCTTTCTGATCCTATTGATAAAACCACTGCTGAGCCAGAGCTTACTGAGACAGATGTTGTCACAGGAATGACCTTTGTATTGCATGATGATGACTATATCACATATACAGAAGCTCTTGAGCTTGCATTTCAGACAGCAGTAGAGATAGCAAACCAAGCATCTGCACCCAACGATGAACCAAAGACACTTGCAGAGGTGATGACTCGGCCAGGAGAGGAAAGTGAAAAATGGTATGAGGCAGCTCAGCAGGAATTGAATGCACTGCAGGAGAGTGGCATCTTTGAGCTTGTGAAGCTCCCTCCAGGATGAAAGGCTATAGGTGGAAAATGGGTCTTCAAAGTGAAGCATAACCCTGATGGATCCATTGAACGTTACAAGGCATGCTATGTCACAAAAGGGTACTCACAGTGGCCAGGTTTTGACTACACTGAAACCTTCTCTCCTACTCCAAAATGGGCAGCTATCTGAACAGTCCTTGCTCTTGCTGCACTTGAGGACCTAGAGCTCTGGAGTGTGGACATCTCATCAGCGTTTCTGAATGGTGATCTAAAAGAGGAGGTATACCTTCAATAACCAGAGGGATTCGAGACAAAGAACAAGAGCTGGGTGCTTCATCTCTTCAAGTCCATCTATGGACTGAAGCAGGCTGGATATGAATGGCACAAAAAGCTCCACAGCACTATGACTAAGATGGGCTTTGACAGAGTATGCTGTGAACACAGCATATGGGTGTACAAGAGAGATGATGCTCAGATTATTGTTCCGGTGTTTGTTGACGATGTAACAATTGCCACAAAGTCCATGGAGTCTGCATGACATGTTGTCGATGATCTCAAGAAGCACTTCAAACTTCGTGATCTAGGTCCAACTTCATTCCTCCTCAGTGTTGAAATACACAGAGACCATCTAAACCAAACACTCACACTCTCTCAACCACAGTACATCCAAAAAATCCTAGAACATACCAGAATGTCTGACTGTAACAGTGTCAGTACTCCTCTTGATCCACACACTAAGCTATCCAGCTCAATGTCCCCTGCTACTCCAGAGGAATGGGAAACCATGCGGCACATCCCATATCTCCAGATCCTTGGCTCTGTAGCATATCTAGCCATCGCCACTCGTCCTGACATAGCTTTTACAGTCAGTGTCCTATCATGTTTCAGCAAAAACCCTGGATTGAGACATTGGGAGGCCCTGAAATGCCTTCTCAGATACATAAAGGGAACAATTGACCTAAAATTGACATATTCACCTGATACTACAAATCCAGACCTGTTCAAAACGTACACAGATGCAGATCATGGTGGAAACCCAGACGATGGGTGCTCGACCTCAGGATATGTTGTCAAGATGGGCACAGGTGCAGTCAGCTGAATGAGTTGGCTATAATCTATAGTAACCTTATCGACCACAGAGGCCGAATATGTGGCTGCCATCTCTGCTGAACAGAAAATTCTGTGGCTGTGAAACCTGTTTACAGAATTTGGCTTCCATCATCTGTCGCCATCACCACTGCTGATTGACAACCAGTCTGCTCTCTCTGTTGCTCGCAATCCTGATCATCATGGTCATGTCAAACATCTTGACCTCTGCTTCTACTGGTTATGAGATGAGGTTGAGTGGGGGCACATACATATTGAATATCTTCACACAGAAGACATGTCTGCTGACATCTTCACAAAGGCCTTAGGGAAGGAGAAGATGACTCACATGATCAGGCTGTTGGGTCTTGAACTCTGAGAAGTATTGTGTCGAGGGAGAGTGTTGTGGGATGACACAAGTACCTGATGTCAACCTTATATAAGCATAGACAGTTTTGTCCTGAGTTGATGGTCAATTGCCTTTAAGCAATTGACCATCATACTCAGTCTGGCCTATTATCCACTGCATAAAAGTAACCTGCCTGCAACAGTTCTGTCTGAGAGAGAATGTCAGAGGGACACTTTGAGAGCACATGAGCCATGAATGTGCTTGGGGTAGAGGCAGGTAGGATATCCCCCAGTTGATATTGATGGATAGACATGCCCAGAGTTGGGGGTTGCCAAGGGCCCAGTACTACCAGGTTCGGCATTTAAGAAAGTGATGTGTGTTCATGATACCTAATACAGTACACTGTTAGCTATAGTGTAGACTATAGGATACCAATCAGTAACATAAACAAAGTAACATAAGTAGATACTCACCCTCACACAGCATAGCGATAAGCAGAAACACAGTGAGGGTACTCAATAGACCATATTCAAAATATAGTGTCCATCCCAACATAAAAGGGTATCGAGCTTGGCCAGTGGGATACAATGGAGCTCCTGCTTGCTAATCCAACATGGCAGACAGGTAAGAGGAGCAGGGATGTGTTGCATCTGGATGGAGGTGCAGAGATGAGATCTGAGGAATGGTAATACCTCCTATGTGTGACTTCTTCAAGGTCCAGCAGGCAGTGGATGAAAATCTCCTGCCATATTTCTTGGGGTATATGTTGTTGTCCCATGAAGCCTGACTGGGCAGAGTATCTGAGGCACATATTACCAAGAAAAATAAGTTACAACTCAAAGTACTGGGGAAAAAAAGAGCTCACCCTGATGAAAAAGAAAGGTTGTGCAGCAAGAAAATAGTCATGGAAAATATACAGGGAGTATTTATGAAGGATCCACAATGTCATCCATGCCGATTCATATAGGTCTCAAATAGGGGTGCTTGGAGCCAAAATTTCAGAATGGTCTCAGGGTTTAAGACAATGGCCTAGTGTGTCTATCTGTATACACCCTTTTCTAGCAGAGTAATCTTCTAAAGGAATCCATAGACACTTTGAGACATTAAGTAGATGGATCATGCACTGCTCAGTGTCGCTAATCATGACTCGAAGCCATCCTAGTTGAAGAAATTAAACTCAATTCAATTTTATACAACTTCTGCACAGCACTGCATTCTCAAGGTAAGTATTCTGTTATGAGAAAACAATTAGACTTCACCTGCTCCCATAGAATGAGAAGTCCCAGTGTTAAGTATGGTTGCTGGTTAGCCAGCACTGAAAGCTTGTGGTCCATACTCTTGATTCTCAAATCCAAGTCCATTTGGTCTTGGCCATGAAACCAATAGTTTCAATGGTAGATAACACAATGTCTAAGCTTGATACAAGCACCAATGAAAGCTTATGATAATTGTAATGTGATAAACAATGTGGAAGATAAAAATATGCTTCAGACCTTACTGAAACAAACAGGCTCAACTCAGTATTTTCCATTGTGGAACCCTCAACCACTTTGCTTTGAGATATAACCATTCCAACAATGATATTGCTCTTGTCTTCAAACTCAAACATGGATCCTGTCAACTCTATGCTGTGTGGCTGAGGGACCCTCTCTTCCTTCCCAGGCTGATTTGGTCTCATGTCAAATGAAACAGAGCATGTGAGTGCAGTGCAAAATGGAACATTTCAGCCAAAGCAGAAACAAATACTTGGCCCTTTGTCCCTTGGCTGACATAGGTATTTGTTCTAGATTTCATTCCCAAATCTCTTATGTAATCCTGTAACAAAGATATTCCTAAATCCTACAGGTTTTTGAGTGGGTTTTATTTACCAAATCCTTAGCCATCAAATCTGGATGGTATTTTGTCATATATTTTACATCCTTCTTCCCAAATACAGATTCAAAACCTACCATTTTTAGCATGGTATTTCCTTACTTGGATTTAGGTTCAAAATTTCTATTAAAATATGTCACAGGATTTGACCCCTTGTAAATACCGATCCATCACGGCAGTGAGTAAAGGATCAACTGTCCATCCGGACATCAGAAAACCGTACTCATTCGTTTCCTCGTGCTGTTGAACTTGAGAGCCTTTAAAAGTATGTACTTCTCCAACTGGCCCATGACTTCTGTTGGGATAGCAATTCCGAGCGAGTACGAGAATGTACTCGAAGATGCTATATCGATCAGTGGCAGCTGACTTGGACCATGATCCGGACTTATTTAGTATTTCGTAGAAAGCTCTCGAAGTAGTACAAAATGTATTTAAGTAGAATGTCTCTCCGAGAGGCCAATCTAATCCTCTGTACTCTACTCTATACTTACAACAACTTCTATGTCAAAAGTATCCTTCAATTTCTTGACAAAGGGGAACCCAACATCTTGTGCAGCAGCCACCAATGTGGCCTCATCCAGCAATTCAGCCTTGTAATCCAAGGTGATACAGTAACTCCTGGGGCTCAGATGTGTTGGAAAGGGTTGTGTGACATGAAGTGAGTGCTCGGAAGAAGGCGATGAGGTGACCCCGTTGTTCAGACGACTGGTCCGCCAAATTCTGCGCGAGTTTAGGTGACACCAGAGTCAGCTTGTCCGGCTGAAGGTACCTGTTCTTAAAGATACTTCCATAATGCTCACCATTTGCTGCTTAAGCGCTGCGAGTTTCTCCGTCAAGTCGGGGGGATCAAGAGAGTCTGCGTTGCCTTCTCGGGTTGCAGCACCACACTAAGCCTCCGTCACACCCTCTCCATATGCGATACCATGGACCGAGATAAATAAACGATGTTGTGAGAACTGTTAGAGTAGCTAAGTAAGTGTATACTGGTATAGTAGCTAGGAAGCATATCTCAGTCGGCGCAGAGTAAAATGACTGAGGTTGGACGTGGCTATGGGGGTATATATACTCTCTGGTTAGGAGTATGGTAAAGAAAAATATACCTAAGCGTGTATAAAAAATAAGAGTAATGCTCGAGACTGTCGTCGGGTATCATGTGTCTCCTTCAACCAGGAAACAGAGCGAAGCACATACATTGTCCATCCCGCCCGATCTTACCCGCCATCCGCATGCTACTTCGAGTCTTGCTCAAGTCTGCTCTCCGCTTCGCTTGCTCTCTGGATCCTTATACATCGTGTCGGGAAAAACTCACTGACGCGCTGCCCTCATGTCTGAGATTAGCTTGAGAGTGTGTGCGATAGCGCCTCGCACAGCGAGTATCCCACTCCGTACCTTTGACGCGAAATTATGTTTCGAAACGACGACGTTACAACTCAGACCAGGTGAGAGATGAGTTAGATAGTCTGGAAGTGATGGGAGAGAAGCCCGATAGATTAAACGTATTTCCAGATATCGCTGCCTCTTGTCCTCGGACTGGCTTAAGAAATATTATCGACTGGCCGTATAGATTTCAATAGCCTTGACGGCGAAGAAGATAGGATGCATACGGATCGAATGTACCAGACGTGCGTGTTGAATCTGTGTTGAGGATATACGATCCTGCAAATGGATTCTCGTTTCGCGCACCTACTTGAGACCTAGGATACGAGAGTGACCGAAGGTCTAGGAATGTACATTAAGAACTGCAGTATAGGTTCTAACTTACATCGACCCTTAGACCATCCTAATGTAGAGTTTGCACAATCAAAAGAATTGACATCGCTTCAGGCAGGGATGGGGATGACATCACTGGGTCAACTGTCTAGTGTGATGTTAGTTTCGATGGAAATGAAAGAAAAATTCCGAGAAGATAAAATAATGTGCAGAGTCAGTTAGCAACTATAATAGTACACAGAGACAAAAAAAATAAGCATCTTACTCCGACACCGGACTAACCCGAATAACCACTTTCCCCACATGCTTCTGACTCTCCAAATACGCATACGCAGCCACCGCCTCCTCAAACGAAAACACCTTATCGACAACCGGCCTCGTCGGCTCGGGCCGAGCACGAAGGAGTCGGTTCATCGACTCGAACCTACACATCCGTTTCGTTCAGAGAAGAGAAAGGGGGAATCCCAAAACTCACTGTGCAACAGAGCCAACCAGAATTCCGCGAAGGATGATAGCCTTCCCGGTACACTGCCCAATGACACTCGTCAACGTAGGAGTATTCTTCGATACAGAACCAATGATATGGATGTATCCTGCGTAGCGTACCGACGCCAGGGATTTCTCAAGTGTTCCTGGTCCACCAACCTAATACATGTATCAATACGAGAGAAATGTAATGTAATCCAAGCGGAAGCATACTTCCAAAATATGATCAACACCCCTTCCCTCGGTGAGCCTCAGCACTTCCTTGTCCCAGTTGGGCGTCGTGTTGTAGTTGATTGTGTGGGTAGCACCGAGTTTCTTTGCGACTTCGAGCTTGTCGTCAGAAGAGGACGTAGCAATCACGTTGGCACCAGAAGCGACGGCGAATTGCAAGCCAAAGCTAGATAACACCATCAGAAGAGGAACGTTGGAGCGAAGGAGAGACATACATGGACACTCCACCTGTTCCGAGAACGAGGACGGTATCTCCTGCTTTGACTGGCTTCGGTCCCATGAGTGCGTTGTACGCAGTAAGCGCAGCACAAGGCAGCGTCGAAGCTTCTTCAAAGGACAAGTGATCGGGGATTTTGACCAGACACTGACATACGGTATAAGTAGGAAGAATCAAACAAAAACATGAAGCTCACAAGAGCCGTAAAGGCCTTGTACTCAGTCAACACGCCGTGTTGTCCTCCACCAAGAGCCGTTTTGACAATATCATCGTTGACATCTCCGTCCCAGTGCTCCGTCGCAAAGTTGGCGCAGACCCTATCACCAACCTTCCAGCGCGTCACGTCAGAACCAACAGCGACCACCTCGCCAGCCATGTCGGAGCATGGGACGAGGTTCTCTGATATACCTCCTCGAGGATATTTGTTCGAGGCGATCATCACGTCGCGGAACTGGAGCGACACGGCATGGACTTTAACAAGTACGTAGGTTGACTTGAGGGGCGGAAGGGGCGTAGTCTGTAAGGTGAGAGTGTTGTAGGATCCAAGCGCAGGAAAGTAGTACGAGCGTGTGGTGGTTGGTGTGTGGGCAGCCATTGTGAGGATTGGTAAAAAGGTCGATGAGCAATCCATCCAACCCTTTATACTGGTCTGAAAATGATGTCATTATGACGATTGTGACGAAGCGAAGGAGAAATGGGAAAATATATTGCGAGCTCTGGTCAAGGACATCAGAAAATCAGTCATGAATGGGAATGATGTCGCGTCGTACCGCAAATCTTTCACTGCATAACAACTCGACGAACAGCTAGACTGCGAACAACGAGAACGGCGGGAATCGGGTCTCTTGAGGTTTTTACTGATGTGTATCTGATGAAAGGTCAAGCAAGGTCAGTGGGGATGACAGTAAGCCTGCGTACCGTACTGCAAATCACCTCGACAATTAACCATTGGACCAATCCAGGACGACCAAGTCATTGAGGACGCATATTTCCAAGTCCTTTCTGAGAAGAAAACACGCATAGGAAGAAGCAATCGCCATGAATTGCTGCACAGAGAAAAGGTGGTGGTGGTACGAGTCCAAGGGATAGAAGGCAGCAAATTTGCAATCGACTTCTATTCCGGGGTAGCACAGCCACACTCAGTGCCACTTCTTCAACCATCTTTAACCGCAAGTTCCAGGACGACTTCGCAGCTGGAAATTTGACTTGGCGCATACTGAATTCATCAGAATTGTTTCCTTCAAATGTCCACCATTAACCGGAACTGCGACCTCCAGCGCTGCGACGTAACTGTTCTGAACGATTTTACTTCTCTCCAATACAATGCTATCATCATTGCATCAGGCCCTGTACTTGTTGCGATGGTCATAGGCCATATTGTCGAGGCAGCTGAAGTAGGCATTAGCGAAAATCTTGTCTCGTGAACCAATTTTCGTTCCTTGTACTGTGCTCAAACCATGCGACTTCCTTAGGATCCTGCTATACGACAGTTGCAATACACTCATGTAACAGGCTGTGTCTCTTTCCCTGACTCTAAAATAAGCAGCATTTGCCTCCGGGTCACAATGCCGGCTGAGGCCGTAATAATGCTTATGTCCAATTCTTCTTCAATCATACTGGACCCACAGAGGAACCACAGAGATTCGTTTGCGACGGAAACGGACACTAATCCTCCTGCAGTACTAGCTATGGCTACCACCACTTGGGTACGACGAGGACCACGAGAAATTATCTATGCCTGATATCCTTTTCATGACCACTGGTGTTTAAGGAGTAGACGATTCAAATATCTACAAATAATGAGTGCCATAACCGGGTACCTCTAGTGCTTCTTCAAGTTCGGGTTTCTCATCAAACCCATCATGGGACCATGACGTGACATATCACGAGTGAAAAATGTATATAAGGCCGCAGAATCTATGCCCCTTTTAAACATCTCCAGTCGATGCTCACAAATACCATGGACTCCCCCATTATCTTGCTTCTTTCGGCCATTGCCTTGGCAGCGACACTCTACTTCTGGCAGTCAAGGCGCAAATATCACTTGCCCTTACCTCCTGGTCCACCAAGACGGCTTTTCGTCGGAAACAGCATTCCACCCACCGAGTACGCCCTCCTTTCTTTATAATTCACCATCCTAACAAACTCCCAGCGCCTTTCTCCAGTTCGAAGAATGGACACAGAAATATGGCCCTGTATTCTCCCTCAAACAGGGAGGTCAAACCACTGTGGTCATTGGCCGGTATCAGGTATGCATCTCTAACCCTCGTACTTTTCCCGTCATTACCGTCCCCCGTAGGCCGCCTGCGACATAATGGAAAAAGAAGGCGCGTCGCTGGTCGATCGACCTCGGAGCATCGCAGCCGGAGACACACTTTCTGGTGGGATGCGTGTCCTACTGACACCTGCCGGACCAAGGTTGAAAAGAATTCGCAAGTAGGTCCACATTTCTTCACTCCCATTCTTCCACCGTCGCCAACGCCTACCATCAGGGCCCTACACGCACAACTCCAGCCCAAAATGGCGGCGACGTATGAAGACATGCAATCACGCCACGCCAAGAACCTCATCGCTGACATACTCAAAGACCCGTCTCAACACCAGATGCACGCCAAAAGGTTCCTGTACAACCTCTCTAAACTATCCTAAACTCACCTTAGAATAGGTATTCCGCGAGCGTCATCATGACCCTTACCTACGGAAAATCCACTCCAACGAGCTACACCGATCCCGAAGTCCAGCAAGTTAACAACTGTCTATTCCGTCTTGGGGTAGCCATCCGTCCCGGTACCTACCTCGTCGACACTTTCCCCATGCTCGCTTACATACCCGGCTACCTCTCCACTCTCAAGCGCTACCACCAAGAAGAGCTCACGCTCTTCCGAGAACAACTCGGGACCGTCAAAGGTAAAATGGTCCAGGTACATCCAAGCTCCCCGTCCGTATTCACCGTCTATGCCTGACATCATCACATAAGAACGAAGAGCTCCCCCCGAGTTTCGCAAAGCACCTCCTCCAGAACCAGAACACATACGGGCTGAGCGACGACGAGGTTGCGTACTCTGCAGGGTCGATGTTCGGTGCAGGTTCTGATACGGTTTGAATCTTCTTTCTCCTTTCAAGTCTGAACTCCCTGCTTATGGCTTTAGACCGCAGCCGCAATTAGCTTCATGATCATGGCGTGCGCTTCCTTCCCTGACGCGCAGAGATGGGCGCAGGAGGAGATCGACAACGTAGTGGGGCAGCAACGAGGTACAGAGTGCCCCTGGAGTCACCCTTTTATATGCACTCAGCATTCTCAGTTCCGACATTCGCAGACCAAGAACTGTTACCTCGTGTGGGAGCATTCGTTTTAGAGTGCACGCGATGGTCAGTGACCATTGTAAAGACACCTTAGTTCCGGATTGACACCTCCATGGCTAGGCGGCCCGTTATCATTTCAGGTGCGACTACGTAACCAACTGAGGTGTTCCTCCCCATTGAATAATCTTCCTTTTACTAGGGTTCGCTCATAAAGCCACAAAAGACATTTATTGGGTGTGTTGAACGCGAATCTGCCAAAGTTTTACCCTCATAAACGCGTGAACATCCAGCAAGAATACGTGATCCCAGCTGGAGCAACCGTCATCGGTAACCACTGGTAGGCTGCCAACTTTGTCTCTGCACTCTTAATATCATCGAACCCGCGAAGGTGCATCTCGCGAGACCCAGAAGTCTACCCCTCCCCAAATGAATTCACCCCCCAGCGCTGGATCCGCACCTCAGACTCGTCCCTCAACATCGATAACAAGCCATTCACTTTTGGTTTTGGCCGTCGTGTCTGCCCCGGTTCTCACGTCGCCGAAAGGTTTCTGTCCTGGCTGTTTCCGTTGTACTATCATTTTGATCACGTCTCTAGGTCCTTGTTCCTCACAGCTGCGATGATTCTCTGGGCTTTCAACATAAGCAACTCCACCCCGATCGATACCATGGCGTTCACACAAACAGCCAACGTCCATCCGTTGCCGTTCAGCGTGGACATCAAGCCTAGGTTCGAAGGGGTTTCGGAATTAGTCTCTGAAGTAGGAGCTTGATCTAAACGGATACTGTAGTCCAATTAATGACACTCGTTCCCAAAATCCTTTACATGACCGTCCTCCATTATTGATATGGCTCTCGTGAAACTGCGTGACGTGTACTTGGAGTGGTTTCATCCCGATATCGCCTCTAGACGAAGGTGAGGGAGAACGCTGACGCCGACTGTGACGTGCGGCCTTCTCCTCGCGCGCCATGTCGATCCGGATTATAATCATATGGAAAGCAACGCTGATGATCGGGGATATCTAAATGGCCATCAAGTCCTAAACAACAGAAGAGCAGAGGATATGTAGTACAATGAATAGCCCGTTGGACTAAGTGGCGTAGCACCCTATTTCAGCAAGTATCGAGACACAGTATAATATGCCCGCATCGACACTGGTGGTCAGTACCGAGGGAATAAGGATGCTTTTCCCGTGCCGATGAGAGACGGTATTCTGGTCGACAGAGCAGATGCAATACCCCAGTAAACCTACAAAATGAGTCATGATGGGAGGCAAAAAACACAGAGATTTTTTGCTCACCTGTCTCAGCGATATTTGTAGCTAACATCGACATGAAGAAGACTTGAAACTAATGGTCGATCTCGTATCCAAATACGCCCTGTTGGTGGCTCAGAGAGCAATTATAGACAGTCGCGACTGCATACACTACAGGGGGTCTTAATTTTAGCATTATCTGTGGATCGGCTGACGACTAGAAACTGACCTACGAATGAGCCACAGCCTATGCTGGGAACGAGAACGCAAAGCGATCTCCAGACCACATAGCACCGATACATCTAAATAAACGCAGATCAATAGAACCTAATTCCATTACCAGGACTGCATTAGCCGGAGCGGTCTGCACAGAGTAAACCGATACCCTATTTGACTGACGTCAGAGAAATATGTCGCCGGTCCTCCCGCAAGCAGTTCATCTTTGCATACAAAACCAGAAACTACATGATGTACGTCGATGATTATATACTGCATGCAGTCAAGATTGACATGGTATCAATAAAATGATGGAACGTACTGCAGTACTTAGAGCGGAGAGGGCACAGGCTGAGTATCATTTTGGTACTGACAGCCCGGCTCTCGACATCCCGACAATATCATCTGACAAGGATGTACATGGTCACAGAAACCATCAAGACAGAGAAGCTCGGTCGACGGTAAGTCTATGGTTTCCGGATGTTTGAAAGCCGCTCACCGTATAGGACACATTCCAGTGCAAGGGCAACGATTGACACTACATCCATAGAGGCGCACCCAGAAATAAGGAGGCGACAGTCGTTAAATCCATATATAAGCAGAGTCCCAAGCGACATTAGCGGATTCCATTGCAAGTTTGCACACTAGGGGTTATTGCCTTTCCTATGGAAAGGCTGAAGTATTCCGTCCCTAGTTTGGGTGTCGCTTACTTGTGTCCACTGATGTAATCACTCGGAGTTCTCGTTCCGTCCGACGCAGTGCTGTTGTCGACAGAATTCCACCACGCTCCAGCCTCCAGGGACTTGATGCATCACTGAGTAAGACGGATGATACCACAAAAAAAGGAAGAGAAAAGAGAGAAGAAGAAGAAAGATTCGAGATGACAGTGAAAGGCGAAGCCTTACCATAATTGGAAATCACCGCTTTTTCGGCCGCAACGCACGAGGTCCGGTGAGCTTTTGAATAACCGAACCTTGACTCTAACTCTGTTCCGACCTAGGGCCGACTCTCATACTGCTGCACGTAAGCATGTTTTCTTTTCTGAGATGCCGAGTTTCTTTTACATTCTCACACAGGACCTCCAGTCCCGATACTTCCCAGCATTTGCTAAGACTCTCGCGCCGGCTTATACCTCAAGGCAAGGGGATCAAATGATCCGTGAACCGTGGGGCAAGTTCCCCGCGACTTCTAGACCATTTCAATACCTGAAACACTGTTTCTGATGTGCCATGCAGTTTCCGACGTTTTGATATCGATTGGGAGAAGTTAGTGCGGCAGTCAGTTCACCCGTTGGATCAGATACGACTGTCAACTCTCAATCCGGCTATATATACTACTGTAACGTGCTCATGAACAGGGGAAAGCCATTTGGTACGTGTCAGAAATCAGACAGACAAGCATTGATTTTGATTTAAATGGCATACTCAAGAGCGAAAACAGCAAGTATCGTAAAAAAAGGACTGCGATCACTTGGACACATATGGCTGAACACAGCTCTTAACGATGATGCGACGTCGGCGGCCCAATACTCAAACAGCTTCCGCTAATGACTCATGTCTTTGAAGACATGAAGGGTATCGATCAGGAAACTTTGGTTACCTTTAAGCCATTATCTGGTCCGTACGGAATGCCTGGTGGCCCACAGCAGCTTCCATATGATCAGTATCATTCTTCCAAAGTTCTCCAGTTTCAGAAAGGAAAGCTGGTCGACAGGATCAGCCAATCACTTAATTCCGCTGAACGCCGATCCCTTACATACCGTAAATAGGACCCTGACTCAACATCAATAAGAAAACAAAAAAAAAAATCTCCGAATCACGCGCCTTCACAGCCTCCGCAACGTACTTATGACCCAACCTTCATCTTCCTGATGTAAGTCATTCACTCTTTCCCTTTCTCCCCATGTCCTTGACGCCAACCGACCTTCCTTCTCCCAGAATCGAAAAGTACGGCAGATACACGCTCTCTTCACATATTATCCCCGCGCCCTGCCCTCGTCTCACGCCTCACGTTGACCAACCTGTCTTTGTCGACAGAACGAAGGCATCTCAAGCGGTAGAGACAATAATAACAGGTCGACGCGAGATCATCAAATACGGAACGCCAAACACACATCGCCTCTGGAATTGCGTCAACAGATACGTCAGCGATCGCGTCGGTCGAGGATTGACGTTTGTGTTCGTTCCTGGAAATGGGATACCGAAGGAGGTAAGTCTTCATGCAAGTGTGTTCATGGGCTTTCAGTACTAAACAAGGCATAGACGTATGAACCTGCAGTTCAACATCTTATATCTGCTTCACCAGGGCTAGTTGACGAGGTATGGATGTGGGAAAGTGTCTTCCAGGGTGATAGTGGAGTAATGAATGCTGGTAAACTAAGCGGCGCTTGTGAGTCTTCCTTCTGTGTAAACGCGAATCATGACTTACATCGCGTTTCAGATAATTGGGAAGACGATACGCGCGATCTAATGGAATTTGTGAAACATTATCTCCCGCGCAAAATTAGCCGGAATCCTTTGCCAGACGACCTCTCTTCCATACGCCTAGACGAGGCAGAGGCAGTGACCCGTGTTCGGAATGGGTTCTCATCGAGAAAGATCGTCTTGGTGGGACATTCCTATGGTGGTTGCGTCTCGTAAGAAACCTTTCTGCTATGTGTGGTGACTATCGAGGAATTAACCTTCTTTATCCCAGTGCCCTCGCAGCACTTCAATACCCTAAACTCTTCCATTCCTTAATCCTCGTCGACCCAATAATCGTACCCCCTCGTCATTTCGATAGTGGTGCCGGAAAGAAATTGATGACTTCGTTCATGAAAGGATCCTTGCTCCAACAATCAACCTGGATGAACTGGTGGGTTACCCGTTTTTTCTTCCATTTCATCCCAGGTTTAATAATCTCTCAGGGTCGTCGCCGAAGAATGTTTGCGGCAGTACAGACCTTACCGAAGCTGGGATCCTGCGGCTTTTGACAGACTGATAGACTACGGTCTGCAAGAGAATGAGGGTAGGGGCGGCTCCCAGGTCCAACTGAAGACTTCGTCTATCAACGCGACGGTTTTGTATGCGGACCCCATCACACCTTCAACGGTGTACAGCCTTCTGCACCAATTGGACGCAGGTATACAGCTGAACTGGGTCCTGCCTGAGAGCGGAGGGTATGTTCTCTTATCTTCTTGGGATGGCTTTTCTCTGATCTTGGGCGTTAGGATAATCGGGCCTTCGATTACGCAGAAAATGATAGGACTACGGTCCGTGAATTCTAAAAGCATGAAGATACCCGGTACGAGTCATTTTGTGAGTGACGGAGCTATTTTTTGGCCCATGATACATTTTCTTACGTGTTGATATAGATACCCCAGGATAGACCAAAAGATTTTGGTGAGTTATATAATTCTCATTTCCTCAGTGCTTGCTCATAATTCTACCGCACAGCCGACGCAATATTACTTCTAATAGATAACAGAGGTCATGCAATGGCCAGGCTTTAATTCACTCTACGGTGTATAATTACAGCACACCTTTCTTCCTTCAGACTGAGCTGAGGCTTTTAGATCCAGAGATCCGCTCTGACTCTTAGGCCATTTCTCCATTTACGAGGTACAATACCATAGCATGGATCATTCCAATTCACGAGAGGATTCTCGTTAGAAAAGCCAGGAGACTTTATTTTACAGAGTAGACTTCGATACAGATCTATATAATACATACAAGTACATACAACAGTTAGAGAAATACAACATTTTCCTTAATCCTCACATCATAAACGTCCATGACATAAAAGTTTTCAAACACATCCACATACGCTCATTCCTTCGAATGCTTGAGCCCAATAAAATGCTATCACGTTTGCTGTCAGCACCAAGTCCACAAACAAGGAAGAAAATAAATCAACTTACCAGGCCCGAACACAACCGCATCCCCAAGCTCTTGCGCTTACGCGCCTCACCCCGTTCATCACGCTGACCCTCAAGATAACCAGCATCCAGCAGAACCGACTCGCGCACGGACCTTATCGTCGAACAACGTTTACGGTTCCCCTCAGACTCCTCCTCGTTCAACATATCCGCCATCACCGCGCGCAGCATCTTATCCTCGATGCCCAGACACGCGTCCCGATGCGCCTCCCACGCGTCAAATGCCACGGACGTCGAGCACCCTAGGCACCTTAGGCTGACAGACCCCGAGCCCTCGTCCTCTGTACAGTCCGCCCACTCGTCGTTCTCCAGCTGCCAGATCCTCATCTCTCCGGGATCCTTCGTGTATTCGAACATCGTCTTGTAGATGATGAGGTAATTCGTGGAGCTGATGAATCGGTACGCGATGGTATGGCTCTGTCCTGGGGAGAGGGCGGAGGTGGTAGGGTCGAAGTCGGCAGGAGGAGTTGCGATCCTATGGAGTGGATATGTCAGAGTTCAATGAGCGTAGTAGCAGAGGAAAACAAACCGATGGGGCTCCTCTCCAAGGTCCCCGCCGTAGTGGAAAGCATACTGCATGTCGACACTGGACAGACGTGGAGAGGGCGGATGAACGGTGGCAGCCTTAAATGTCAGAACGCTGCCACCATTGTCATTTTCGGCACACAATGTTAGATTATTGTCCGAACGACCAAGTACTTGTTCTGGGATACGTCCTAGGGCTTGGGAAAGGTACCACAGCACCCGAAGAAACCACCTTCAAAAATCCCGGAATTGGGAACGTCATGCGGTCAGCAATCGTAGTGGCTTTTTTGGAATTTCGGCTTCTAACAATGATGATGCAAAGTATTTCTAGAGATCGCTAGTCACGTTCATTGCGCAGCGACTATTTGATTTTAAAAACAAATAGACTGAGTGGCTGAACAATAACAGGCATCCATTGGGATACTGACGGGGAGAACCCACATCGTATACTTTTCCGTGGATTCGGTCATTCCCGAAAGGCAAAATAACGGTCACAGAGGATAACGGAGAAAATTTTAAGTGAACCAACAGCAAAGAGTATGGACAGTAGGGAAGATTGTCAGACCAACGGTGATAGAGGCATGTAAGCGAGAGACGTAATCACATTGTCTTCTTCTGAGTGGAAATAGCCTTTTCCATCCTCCTTGTCATTATTCGGCATGAAAACCACGTTCATGACTTGATAGTATCGTAATGTCCCCTGAGAAGGGGCGTTGGTGGTCGGACGTTCATTTCTAAACCGGGTCAGTGGTAAGCATGCCGCATTATTCGTGTTCTTCGATTGGCCTACAGACCCTCTATGGTATACGATGCATAGATATTCTCAGATGGCCTTGTTTATATTGCTGAGCCGAGAACGATGTACCCGTTGTTCGTCGTCGCCGGGTTTGGATCCTAGGTGCTGGAGATGATGGATGTAGACTGTCGCGGCTGATTTAATTCTCTTAGAGGATATAAAGTGGCCCGCTTCTCTATTAGCTGACCTGATATGTCAGGAAAACAGCTTCTAGTTTGCTCACCACGAGTCTTGAAGGTACTAGACTAGGGCCCTTGATGAACCGGTCGGGAGGGAGACCAAGTACAGTGTTACACTTTGGATTTGAATACACGGAGAGGCCTCGTGAGGGGCGGAACAAAAGGCGGAGAATGGCAAACAACCAAGAACGGAAGTTCGAAACCAAATTTGAAAAAAGGACGCGTCGGGATCACGTGAGGTTTAGGACAGGGTTAAATGATAAGATCACATTCGCTTCTTGCTTCCTGCCATCAGCTCCCTTTTACTATTTACCCGGTTCTCAGGAGTTGGTTCATGACTCATAAAGCAATTACCATATTGCGAGTCCCAGATAATATGATTCCTTCTGACAGTCGTATTGCGCTTTCTAATCGTCCGTATCAGTCACTCAATATCTGCCTTTCGCTATTAGACTGACATTACACCATACACGCTCTAGCTCCTACGCTAGTGAGTGGTAACCGAGCTACAAATAGAAGCCGTGACACTACGCGTATCTTGCTGTAGACGATGGATTAATTTGTGTTCCTTCTTCCAGGCAATTGACATCAATCGGAACAGGCCTGGTGACAACGGCCGACTTACCAGATGTGCCGGAGTCAAAATCCTCTGCAATATTCATCCACGGCTCATGTACAATATCACCCGATCTTGGAAATGCGATACTAGAGCAAGTACAATGGATTTCTTTCCTTTAGCTACGTCAGCTGTTCTGGCTCGCGATGTGATTTCCTATATGGATGTACCATCGGAAAGACGGGGTATTGACCCTCTAGTAGAACCGTCCAAGCCTCCGACTCCTCCGCCATTTCCGGAAGCTGGTACGACGGCGTTGCTACCACGCTGCCTAGTGATCTTGGTATCGTGAGCAGATCAATTCTGAGTATGAATTACTTGTAAAGAAGGATCATTAGGACGACCTCGTTCTGTTGAAAGAGGTATGTCACCACACATGATACAAAAGCTGCAAAAAAACTGAATGATGCCATCGCAGAGGCATGGGTCTTGGTGCTTCATCTTGGACCGCGACCCAGCGGGAGACGTTTGCCAATGACGTGACGTCTCCACACTTGTATCAGTGACCGATAACATCAAGGAGTCCAACATTATTCCAGTCCTGCGAATCTCTGTTGATTCTTTCTGGTAGACCCGGCAGAACAGATGGTCCCTCTTATGAGCTACGTCTGTACTTAGGTCCGAACTTGGATCACTGTCAAGACAAGGTCCCGGTAGTCAGATTGTTCTGACTTGATATCGTTCCTTGAGGGAGGTACAGTGAGAATCGCAAATGGCGGAATCTGCGTTGAACATCATTTACCTGAGCGTTTAAATCGAGATAATTCTGTGCGGTTCGGTTTCCCCGTTCCCTCTAAATATGCGTCTCTTCTTGTGAGAATATAATGGCCGCTCACTTCTATGATTATTAGGTCTTACGGTGCGAATGTCATACTCTGTCGACTGATGCCACAGCGACACCAGCACCGGCAATTGCCAACAGTCGTTCATCTGCTACCCATGACCGTCTTGCGCCTCCATCGGACTTTGCACTCACGTATTGGCCAACTAATTTTCGACGTTCTAATAATGAAGTGATTCATTCGTTAACCCCTTCAAACATTATACATACTGAATAGCTATTCTATTTTTAGGTCGGTCTGGCTTACACTTCTTCGGCTTCTCCATTTACTCGTCGCTTCTGCCCTTCATTGCTTAGCCTCTTTCCGTGGATTACGCGTGTGTCTCGAAATCATCACGGCCACGAATCTTCTCCTCGTTCCTGTCGCCGGAGTTATAAAACATGGACATGGTTATTCATCTGCCTACCGGTTCTCCTTCGCAATGACTGCGCAGATACCAAGTACCATACGCTCGTACTACTTCCCCACTCTTGGATCCCACACCAATCTCACCTTGCAGACTATCTCCCTCCCTGAACTCAAGTCCAACTGTGTCCTTGTCAAAATACATGCTGTGTCGCTCCAGTACCGGGACCTGTATATCTCCTTGGGTCGATACCCTGGAAAGGTAGTCGATAACCTTGTTCCATGCTCCGACATGGCTGGAGAGGTGGTCGCAATCGGTGCCGACGTGACCCAGTGGAAGATTGGCGACAGAGTCTCCGCCAATACTACGATAGACTATTTGTATGGAGAAGTCGGTCCGAGAACATTGGAGTGGGTGCTTGGTGGGGAAATTCATGGCGTATTGGCCGAATACAGGGATTTCCCAGCTCATGTGAGGACTTTGATGTGATTCTTTTCCTTATGCTAGCGCTCATGCTGGCTTTCAGTCACTGGTCACTATTCCGGAACATCTGTCTTACGAAGAAGCGGCAGCGCTGCCGTGTGCTGCTGTGACAGCGTACAATGCTCTCATGGGTCCCAAGCCAGTCAAAGCAGGCGACGCTGTTCTCATCCTTGGAACTAGCGCCGTGTCCCTGTATGCATCTTCTGATTGGCTCAATGCTTTTATTCTGATCAAAGTAGTTTTGGTTTACAATTCGCTATCGCCTCTGGAGCCACTGTCATCGCAACGTCGTCCTCTGATGCCAAGCTGGCTATCGTCAAGAAACTCGGCGCTGCGCACACAATCAATTACAATACGACGCCCGACTGGGACAAGGAAGTGCTTAGGCTGACGGACGGAAGGGGTGTCGATCATGTTTTGGAGGTATTGTGCGGCTACTCTTTGTTCCTTCTTTTGTCTGACTTTGGAGCTATTGTAGGTTGGAGGACCTGGGACTCTCGAGAAGTCGATGGCGGCTGTACGTTATGCGGGACACGTTCATCTGATTGGATTTCTTTCGATGACACCCGTTCCCCTGATGAACGTTATTGCTCCGTGTCTCCTTAAGGCTGTCACTCTACGTGGAGTTCTGGTTGGCTCTCTTGCACAGTGAGCATGGTCTGTCTTTTCCCTTTCCGATGCTAATTCCTATGTAGGTTGGAGTCGATTAACGGTCTTTTACGTGCTCGTCCAGAGTCGACACGCCCAGTGATTGACAAGGTGTTCTCGTTTGAGGAGGCTGCTGAAGCATACGCATATATGGAGAGCCAAAAACACGTTGGGAAGATCGTGATCCGTGTCTGTACCTAGTATACGTTATAACTATTCAAACGAAACAAGGAACATCATTATCTGGAGCAGCTCGAATTGCCTCTTTTACGCTTCGGCCGAATTACAAAGGTTGAAAAGAAATCCAAGGAACATCCAATCATCCCTCGTCCATGTGATCGCCACTGTGTCAGGACATCCTGATGATGGATTACTCATCTACCGTCGACCGCCTTTGGGACAAACCTCCAGCAATAACCACCAACCGCCACCCGCTCGTACTAGCTACTCATGGATCCTCCAACAACCTCGCTTTGCAGACTATAACCCTTTCGGACCTCTGACCAAAAAATGTCCTCATCAATACCTTTGCAGTACCGCAGCCTCGTTGCTTCGAACCAAGACGGTCTCACCAGCATAGAAGAAAACTTCATCCCATGCTCTGACATGGCATGGAAAGTGTTCTGATATGACCTGCGACAAAGTCGAAGACAGAGTGCACTCTAATTTTCACCAGATCACCTCCACGGCGACAATCTTCGGTGGATCAATTAGAAGAGGGCTGCAAGAGACCGGGGAAATCAACCACACCTGTAAATTACGCAGGATCCATCGTGGCATAGAATGCAACCAGCATTGCATGGGCAAGACTATCTCGTGGAAGTTTCTGTTGCCCGGTGAGTTGTCCCACCTCCTTCTCCCTCGCTATAAATGGTCGATTCGACTCGATGAATAGTAGTCGTAGCTTGACAATGGACATATACTACAAATATTGCATTGGAAAGAGCGTTCTAAGGCACTATAGCCAAGTGGTTAAGGCGATAGATTAGAAATTTATTACTCTCTGAGTGCGCAGGTTCAAATCCTGCTGGTGTCGTCCCGATCTACATAGTGACCGTTTTTGAATGTGAAATTTGAAACTTGACTTTTGTACTTCCCATGTGTGTGTTTCACTGTGGTGATAAGTGTAGCCCCAGCTGAAGGTTCACACCTCTGATTCTAAGGAATGGGCTGATGGCACAGTGCCAATTCATAATTGTCAACTTCTTTTCAAGTCAAAGTCTGATGCAGTTCTAACTTTTGGGTTCATTTCTCAACTCCTGATGGAGATTTTTGTAAGGCTGATTGTCAGGATGATTCTTTGGAACATCATCCATGAATCGAATTTCACACTTTGTACTCGAAACATTCAGCAGTGGTCGTGATGTCTCAATATATGTAGGATCAAAGATTAAAAATGGACGCGAATCTGAGCATTTGTACACCAGAAGTGAGCGGAGAAGAATCCTTGCATCCTTGGTAGTAAATTGGGATGAAATCTGAAATAAGTCAAATTCCCAAATTCAAGCTTCAGATAGGCCTGATAAATAGAATGCACAGACTGCAGCCAAAACGACGATGGGGGAGATATCTGCCAAATCACGTTACATGAAGAAGCGTGAAACAAATGGAAACCTACCCGCTAGCACTTGTCTGATTAGACATAAGGGAAAATAGAACCTATGGAGATCATACTGGATACAATGTTAATCCTTGGAAATTCATTCACAATGGGTTGGTTGGAACGTAACAAGAGACACTATACCCAGGCAGAGCGGTACCAAAACATGAGCTGTGTCCTAAGCATAACAGACCCCGCCACAAGTAAGTGCAATAGGAAACAAAGTTGATCCAATGACAACCAAGAAGTTACCTCTGAAGTCCAGTTTCAGAACGTGTACCAGGAAAAGCGAGAAATCAAACTTCGCCTCCAGTCCATAAGGATGATTCCCTCGCGTATTGGAATGTTAGGAGATCTAAGATGAAGGAATGCTGCCGATGGCGCGATAGAAATACCGCACAACGGTAAGTTCAAGTCTACGTCATGACAAGAATCAGCATGGAGATCAAGTGAAGAAGTCGTGCTTACAAAAAATCCATCTCCAAGCACCTGCAGAAGCGAGACTTCCTCCAATGACAAGTCGGTCCAGTAATAAAATTTACTGGAAATGCAAGCCAAGCAATCCAAGGAATAGACCACGATCTCGGAGAAGAGCCAGGTCTCCAAGGAGAATGTCTCCGACATCATGGACTGACTAACTGCGGCACCGCAAAGTGTGTTTCCGATAGCGAATATTAGAACAGCAGACATCAGAATATCTGAGCGAGCCGTCCAGAAAGAGGAAGAAACGCGGAAGACGATAATGCGTAATAAGCACAAATCCAATAAACAAATTCTGGGGAGTGGAGATCAATAGTAGGCAAAGCGGTCGACTCAGAGGTCAATTCCAAAGCAAAGAGGGCGAGAGCAGTGCAAAGAGAGACAAAGGACGTCCAAAAGTTCAAGCCTCTGGCAGGCTTTGGACGAAGTGATTTTTCGGAGTCCATTGAGGAAACTAAGAGGTGGCTGTCAGGACGATACAATGTAGTTGCATATCGGATAGTAACAATATGCTTGCTGCACTGATGGCAAACTCTAGTGATGGGAAAAGCAAGTCCACTGAGCCGCCAACGCCGGTTTCCGCGCGAAGGCCGATCAGCGTGGCAGATGTAGCAGGCTCGGGACCCTCAGGACATTGCCACCTTTTCTCCTTCACATAGTGACCCTTTGTATCGCCAGTTACATGTAGAGAAATATGTATATCGAGAAGTACGGTCATCAGGCAGAAAGGTATGGTGTTGTAAATCCTCTGTTCGACCTGGCGCTCATTCCAAAGGTGGTAAAGTATTATTTAGTGCCATCTGAATCAGTGGGTCTGGATGTCCATTAAACATGCCTTCTGATGAACTGTACTTATCTCCGGCGCTTCGTTGCCGCGTGCGTTTTCCCATGCGGTGAATGCCACCAGCGCGCATTCTAGCTCTCACCTTTTTCCACTTTTTGCGCCTCCACAATGGGAGTCTCTCAGTCAAAAGGAAAGTCCACAAATGTTGGAAGCTTCGCTACAGAAGTAAAGTCTTCTGCGAGCATTGGCGATGCTGGTAATTGGAAAGCATACGACTACGTCGTCGTGGGAGGAGGTGCGCTGTTGTTCAAAGCTTTATTCTCATCATTTCTCACTTGTGCCCGTAGGGATTGCTGGGTGTGTCCTTGCATCAAGGCTTTCTGAGAACTCAAACGTTTCAATACTCCTTGTTGAAGCAGGCAAGTCGTTTGTACCGTCATTGTCTTCATTTTCGCTGGATTGACTTGTTAATAGACACGAGGGTGATTTGTTGACGAGCATTCCTCTGGCGTTCTCAAAGATATTCAAAACAGATTCAGATTGGGATTATGAGACGACGTACGTTGCAACATGATTTGCGAGAATCTGACGTACAAATTATACTAGTCCTCAGGATGCGCTTGGGAAGAGAGCCATCTACTGGCCAAGGGGAAAGATACTTGGTGGGACAAGGTCACATCCAATTTTGGGGCTTAGTTACTGCACTCTAACATACTTCATTAGTTCCATAAATTGCTCGATCTATCATAGATGCGCTCGTGACGGTAGGCTTTGTTATTTATCGACATCTTGTATATTCTTTTGATTCCTGTTTCAAGACTTCCACGAACGGAACCGGCTGGGGGCATCAGGATGGTCATACAGAGATCTTTTGCCGTATGTAGTTTTTTTAATTGTCTGTTTCTATACGCTCAAGCAACGATCAGTTATTTCCTCAAGGCAGAATCTTACACTCCCGATCGGCGTTACCTAAACGTGAAGGCCGAGGACCATGGCACATCCGGACCTTGGAAAACCGGCCCGCAACATTCTCCTCCTGTAGTAGGTGGCACCTCCTACTTCAGCTGTTTACTGATACAATTACTCTCAGGCCATCCATGAAGTCCTTCTCAAAACATGTGAGGCCATGAAGCTGCCCCATATCAGGTTCTATGCTCTACTATTCTATAGTCGCCCTAAAACTGAACTTACTCTTCAAGCGACACGTCTTCAGAATCCGGAACACTAGGTTCAACTGAGTTCATCTCGTGTATTGACCAAAACGGAAGACGTTAGTCCTCTATAAATCTATTCTGAGCTAATTTCTGATGATTGTCTCAACAGGGAGCTCCTCTGCCACTGCATACCTTACGCCATCCGTACTTTCTAGGCCGAATCTCACCGTAATCACACGAGTCATGGTAGAAAAGATATTATTCGATACGCCAGCTGCTCAGAATCCACGAGCCATCGGAATCGAGCTGTCAAAGCGTCCTGGAGGGCCTCGATTCCGCGTTCGAGCCAGTCATGAAGTAATTCTTTGTGCTGGAGCGGTAGGGACTCCACAAATCTTACAGCTCAGCGGAGTGGGACCTCGAGAAGATCTACAGAAGCTAAACATCCCCGTCATCAAAGATCACCCTGCGGTGGGGCGTCACCTTCTTGACGTGAGCCATTCGTCACGACTTCAAGGACGTGTTCTCATGTTTCCTTCATCATTAGCATCCTAGTTGTGGAACAGTCCTCTTCCGCACTAAAGCATCCAGAATCTGACCTGGGACTATGTCGGAGGGTCTCTGGCAGGAGCATGGTCGCTTATTTAAGTGGCTTATCTCTGGTCAAGGGCCGATGGCCGGGGTGAGCTTTCCTGGCGGGATTTTTGTTCGTTCCGATGACCCTTCGTAAGTCGCGGTTATATTGGTCTCTTTCGAAAATCCTGAACCATCTCTAGCCTCCCTTTCTATTCTGAATCACAATCTGGGGCTCCGGTGAAAGACAATACCTCCGGTCCGAACGCTCCAGACCTTGAAATCATCTGGATGCCTCTGCTTGTGCTTGAGAACGGAACCAAAAGACCCCCAAGAGGAGTAACAGGCATTTCTATGGTCCGTCTTTCCCAAGCTAGTTAGCGATATACTGACCGGTCATAGGGCGCTATGGTGATGCAACCATCCAGCGAAGGTTCTATTTCGCTGAAGACGGCTAGCGTTTGGGACAAGCCAATCATTAATCCCAAGTATATCCATCCATTCTTACGTTCCAGCGCCACAACCTTGCTAAGTGTACGCCTTTAGTTACCTTGCCGATGAGAACGATATGAACGTAAGAATGAATTTCCGCCAACGGGATGGCGACTTGGCGCCCTGTTCGTCTCTTTCTCTCTCTACCTCCACCCTTGGGTCTGCAATTTCTTATTGTTTCGATAGGCATCATCTGCTCGCATGGGTCGAGATGTGTCTGACAGCGTCGTGGATGCTAACTTGAAAGCTCACGGCATCGAAGGCCTACTTGTCGTCGATGCATCTGTATTCCAGAACCAAGTTTCCGGCCATCCTTGTGCAGTGGTAGTTGCGATCGCAGAAAAAGCTGCCGATATCATCAAGACCGCTCGTGGGGGACCTGACTAGCTTATGGATATATTCTATTGGTCGTAAAATCTCGGGGTGGAAATCTACTGTAGATGAATTCTAGAGCGGAGCACACAATCCAATGCTTTAATGTAGGACACCAATAATATTAAGCGGGACTTCGACTGGATCCACCATCATTTATTGACAGCAATAGAGTGTTCTCGCCCGCCATCACCAAGACCGCCAGCTTGGGTCCCCTTGGGTGTTATTACTGAAGGTGCATTCCATCTGATCTCCTCTTTCTTCAGCCATCTCGTTTCTTCCATTTTGGGACGTCGACAACTGGACGAGACTAATATTCAGTATCAATTGTGATCTTCTTTAGCACGAGAACTCGTTAGATCCCGCCGATGGCAATCCAATCATTATGATGTAGATACATATTCCGTTTAGGCATCATGAAAACGTGTGGGATCCTTACAAACTCTTCTGAACTTGGCGCGGAACAAGGGAACCCCACTTTTCTTCCACCATTTTTGTTCTACCTGCGTCTTCTCAATCATCTTATCTTCACCCTCGGCCCACGCATGTGTCTCAGCGCCAACACTTTACTCTACCATATAAAGGTTCGATCTACATCTCACCCCAACCACCGTAAGTTAATACCCTCTAGTATCATGGTTAACTTGAAAGACGCTGTGACGATTACCGAGGAATTCTGCAGTATTTCCGTTTAAAAGCTTCGCAATCTAAGTATTTCCTCGATTCGTTCGAATATTTATTGTAGGCTTCCGTTCTCCACCACCTTTAGCTGAAGGCTACTTACGTAGGTCACCTCGTGTTGTCGTAGGAGAAAGATATTTCAACGGGGTTGTTCTCAAGGCATTCTCCTACTGGCTCCCTCGACCTATCCTCAGCCCTGATTTGCATGGTAAACGAGAACATGCCCAAGTAAACTTTCCAACATGATATAAGCAAGCCAGGTCAGAGCGAGGGTACTCAGATTGGCAGTGGCAAAAAGGGGAATCGAAGTTCCAAAACGGGATGCATTGTGACTGTGACGTTACGTTACTCTTGCTTTCAGTTCCGAACCGGCCAGGACTGGCGTTTGCCGCTCTCTTGGCGATGACTGGGGAATGAAGCGCACTCTCAGAAAGGAACGATAATTATTTTCAGCTTCGTTTTCTGCTCGTCGTGGTCTTATCAAGCTGCTATTGAATGTATGTTGAATAGAGCTTACATGGCCTCGCTTATCTTTAATATTTTGAGCATGCTATATTAATGAGTAGGAACTTCTAAATAACTTCCCCCCTTTTCGAGCTAGTGGATGAACGAGGGTATATGGATAAGTACACCGACCCGTATGACGATGCATATTATACCCATGTCACAATTGACCAGCCACCCTGGATCTTTCGGGGGCAATATTAATGGCAATGTGAGACTTGGAGGCGATGATAGCTCCGTGGTAGGTTCCTTCTGTATATACCTTCTTCGCAGAAACCCTTCGCCATTGTTGAGGATAGACCTATATCAGGTCTCCCGGGTCTTGTTTCCTTTTTTGCTATTGTCTTGTCCGGTGAACAATTATCCAAGACCACAAACAAGGGCGGGTTTTAAAAGTCAAAGCATTTGGCTCTCTAATCCCGGCTATTGACCTTACCATATAAAAGGGCGCCAAGCATCCCCTGTTCATTCCACACCACTCATCCGAGACCCTTGAATCACCTCAGTCAACGACGGCCCAACCTCCCAAAATGCCCACTAAGAACGATGAATATTCTTTTGAGGTCGTGCCACCAACTCCCACTTCCGAAGGGACAGGTAAGCTACATTGCCATGGTTACATTTCTCTCTATCTGACGTTCCGCTGGTATAGGCTGCCATGAAAACAATTGCGATTGTTCGGAATGTCGGTCGATGTACGAGAAGGAAAAATCGCCAAAATGACATATTGTTGCTAATGCTCTGATCTCTTTCGAGTGTTACAAAGTTCCCGCCACAGTCAATGGTGTCTCTGCTATCTCATTCAATTAAGTTTTCGTGCGACGGTATAATCCTCCTGCGTTTAAAAATCGACAGGATCGAGTGGAAATCATCTTCAAAGTCACCGTTCTGTATAGGACGGGAGAATTGTAATGGACGTGTCTTGGACTAAGATGAGCACTCAGTATCTAAGCAGACTGCGGCGAGGTCGATATAGCGTCGAAGCGGATGCAAGCACATTCATCGATGGAAAGTTGAACAGAAAGATTCTTTGGCGATTCCCCACGCTTCGCATTACGTCGGCCTTGAAGAAGAATATACCATTGAATAAAATGGCAGCTCTAATTAGGCTTCTCAGCCAAATATTACGGGTAACTATCTGAGTGACGATCAGTGGGGATGGCCCACAATCTTTGCAAGCGAAATCCGGACGGAAGCCGTTTCGTTGGTTGTCGAGTATCTGAATACACGTACCTCAGAGCCTCCAGATGTCTGACTGTTGCGGATGGCAAGGAAAGTCCATTCCCGGTGGGATCGGATATTGGCCGCGGCATATAGCTTAGACCCCGGATAAGGATCGATGCCTGCCTATGACAAATATATAGAAAGCCGGTACGAGTAACGATGAAGTAGTTCTATACACACACGAAATCATAATCTTGCAATAAAGAAGAAAAACGGGAATTTTTATTCTGCCAAACCTGGGGCGCTATACCGCATCAGCATGGTACTTCCGTTCGCTATCCTGTTGCTCATTTAGCCGTCATGAATTTGTAGTAATAAGCGATGTTCGTACCTTATCTGAGCTTCTCGTTCCATCCTTCCATGTAACCACGGATGTTGTCTGCAATATACGGTATTGGTATTTCGGCTAGAAGTCACTTGGAAACACGTACCACACGGACAGCCCCTGGATTGTGCTGGCTCCCTGAGATAGGTTCGAGAGGGACTTCGTGGGAACTGCCCGATTTCTCCCGCATATTTCTCCTGTAATTCAGGCTGGGGTAGGTGTCAGGCGGGGTCATTTTCAGTCGGACTTTCGGCGTACCTGCCCACAACAGAAAGGACATAGACTGTGAGGATGTTTCTATCAACGTTGATCGGATACGCAAAATTCCAAATACTTACATTGGCAACTTGGAAGAAGCGGGATCATGCTATATAAAGCAAGATGGTCAATCAAAGATGATAGCGGATAATGAAATCGCGCACAAAATCATCGCCTCCGGACGCCATACAAACTTGTAATATGTCAATATCTGTGCTTTGAATTCGAAAAGGGAAGATCTACATACCAGAATCAAATTCAGCAATGCGGCTAGACTGGTGATTGCCCCACGGTTTATGGCGAGGATGATTAGGTTGTCAAGGAGGTTGTCGGTTCTATGGATAGTGTCAAGGGTTGTCAAGAATGCAGGATCGGTAACACTGACGATTTGATACCCGTTCGCTTGGTATGGAAGATCCAGCACAGGATGACAGTGATAGCCATGTCGCACGCGGCGGTGGATGCGGATTGGAGGCTCGTAACTTTCTGTTTGGAAAAGTGAGGGAGGAAGGGAGATCTCAAGAAATCATGGGTGGCTACCTCTGTGTGAACGAGATGGCTAAAGGTACCGCCGATACCGCTGCAGAAGAATGTGAGTCATCGAAACTAACCAACGAGGATGCGGACGAACGCGAGGGTCGTTTGGGCTAACCGCGTAATAGATATAAGTTTTGTTTAGTCCATTTGAAGATGGATCTGTCGTACCGAGTCCAGCGCCTTTGATGAATGTTAAAGAAAATAAATATATGTTGTATCAGAGAACGTACTGATGTTTGTCAAGGCAAGAAGACCCTAGAATAGAAGCAATAATTAGGCGTCACCTGTCTCCGTTCTATTGAGTATCCAGGGTACACATACCACTGGTCCAGCCAGCAACCAGTTGTGCGTTACTGAGCAGGGATCAATGTCGATTGCGTAAATCAGGGAATTAGTCACAAACAGTAGTATATCCGCGACGTAAAGAAGCTATCAAAAGTATTGAGTAACAAAAAGAATAATAGAGTGGAGGACAACTTACACCTGCGAGATGAATGATACCATATACTAAGTTCTTCAGCGGCTATACAGGAAATTGGCAAATAGACACCCTTACAATAGCTAATAGTTGAACCTGACGAAACTGAGATGTTGATCACGTTCTCATTAAACTGTAGACTCACCAGGGCCGTTCTTAAAAATGTATCAAAAGTACTTGACAAACGCTCGCGATAGATTAGAACGCGACATACCTCGGCATACTATCCAGCTCCGCCAAGTCTCCAAACCGGTTTATGAGATCCTCATATGCCCATGCAATGAACGTCACGATGTGCGTCGTAGCCAAGAATCTACAGGTCGGTCAGAGAGAAGCTTTAGAAAGTAAATAAATACGACCGTACCCGAGCGAGAGAACCATTAACTTGACCATGGATGAGTCCGCCGACCATAAGTTGCCACGAAAATATTGGAGTACTACGAGCTACGCAGGCGAAGATTTCAGTCCGTGGAAGCGGAAAGGCTAGATTCGGCCATACCATACCGGCACCGTAGCACCTACCGATAGTGAAAGTCGGTGTAAGTCTCAATCGGCAGCAGAAAAATATAGCCTCACATCAAGTCTATCGTGAAAGCGATAAACATACAGCCAAAGGTCGCATTGAAACTTTCCGCCATGGACGCTGTGAGGAAAGGACACGAAACATGATGCGACGACGGCCCAAGACTTTTTGAGATATTGTAGATCTGCCAATTACAATTAGCTGCGATATTACAGGAGATCTCCGGCACAGGGCTGCGTGTAAGTTAGCATGATCATCAATATCTGATTGCATGCAGTTGGTTACGTGTCAAGTTACCTTTAAATTTTCTCCCCGTATTAGAGTAGATTCGAGCATGTCTATTCTTCTGTGCGCCGTGGATTTTTCCATCAATAAGGCTCTATACTACTGCAAGTACAGGAGGGAAAGGAATTTTTATTTTGTACAGAGTCGGAGTATGTCCAGGTTACGTCGTTGATTATGAAATTGGTTGCGAACCTGCCGCTATCCGGAGTTGGAACTCCGCTAAGCGACATTCGTTTTTTTTTCTTTCCACGCTTTGCAAAGACTAGATCCTACTTTATCACGTGCTCATCTTCCCGGACACACGATGGACTGATCCATGACAATGTCTAGAGAAAGCCAGTTCCTTCCGACCATCTGATTCGAACATTTTCGCCTTCCATCTTCCAAAGGAGCAAAAAAAGAATAGCCTGGTCTAATCTTATCCAAATAATATGAAAATACGGAAAATACGGATAAGCGTTGATCGGAGTTCCTGGGGGTAGCAGTTCCTGGTATCTGAACTTGGTTACATGTATTTCAGTCGATGACGGTCATGGCTTATCCCCAACTTCGTATCCCCCTGCTTTCTTCTCTATGTCGTGTACAACCGGTGTTGGTCCCGTGGATGACAATGGCACAGTGCTCTTCTTCACCGACAGCGGGCCAGTCGCGGGTTCTACTGACTACACCACTGTAGTCATTTTCCACGGCAGTGCCTTCACTGGCAGTAAGTCTTCTGATATCCAATGTCGTGAATATCTCATACCCTTCGTCCATCTAGATACCTTCCACAAGCTCCTCCCAATGGCTGCGGAAAACAATCTGCGTCTCGTCATCCTGAACAGACGTGATTACGCCGGTTCGACGAAGTATGCCGACGAAGAACTCGCAGAGCTGAGGGCGGGCAAGACCGAATTTTTGCAGCGCCTCGGATCGGAGTCGGCGTATTTCTTAGCATGGTACATCCAGACCAACGATATTCCAAAGATTGGCGCGGACGGCAAATCTGGAGGGTTGGCTACTATTGGCTGGAGTCTTGGGGCCACCACGTATGCTCGCTTCTAACCTTCAACGTTGTATTGCTGATGACCTTGTTCAAGCCCGCTCGCAATTCTTTCCCATCCGGAGGTTATTCCCCAAGAGACCTACGAAGCGTTGGAGCCATATTTCCGGCAGATGATATTCTACGGCTAGCTTTTCCCTTCTATCATGACTCTCAACTTTTCTCAGTTTTCTTTCAGACCCTCCCCATCTCGCTTTCGGATATGATCAGCCACCGGAAGGATACAACCCATTTACTGATCCCGATCTCAAGACAGCCGAAGAGATCTTTGCTAACTTTGGCTACTGGGTCAGCACTTACTACGACCACCCGGATCTTGCGTCGCGTTCCCCAAGTGGGCTTGACTTTAGTAAACGTGGTACACATCCGTCAACCGAGAACATGACCCCGGATGACATGGCAGTTACCTTTGACGGCGAGGCTGCGGGAAGGATGGAGTTTCCTATGTACGCCTTCATCTCTTCGCGCCTTGACTGATTAACATTTGCCAAATCAGGTATTTCCCCCCGATGCAGCCTACGATCAGAAATCAAACGGAAACCGCGCTGTACGACGAAGAGGCGATAAAGAAGATTCTTCCGAAGCTAGAGATCGTTCATCAGTTCTGCACGGCAACTAACTGGTACTGTGTCTGGGGATTCTTTGGGAACGAGCGTTTTGCTCCGAAGCGACCTATTCGCTTTATCGGGATCCCAGGAGCAAACCATTTCGTACGTCGATCTTTTCTATTATTCATGTCCATATTGCATTTACATTTGTTCAGGTCCATTGGGACGATCTCAAAGCGTATATGGAGGCGACGGTGGAAGGCCTTACGACATGATAGTTATTACGGTCCCTCAGTGAGCAACTTATATAGATATTGATATCTCAGCCCTTGTCAGTGCCAAATTGAATATTGTACCATTCGTGATGTCCTTCAAATGCCACGTACGAGTTTCAACTAATGTGAGACGTTCGATCCGTGGGGAACCAATAGAAAACAAGTTGCCCAGTCTCCGCTCTCGCGTCGGTGTCATGTTGATTCTATTGGGGCTGTACCCGATACACCGATGACAAAGGACGCAGAGCGTCACAGATACGACAAGATAGTTGACGGCGACGACAAGGGGGGAGATTATAGGACGGATGCGATTGTCTATACTCTTTCTTCAGACTTGATATGATTAGAGTTCTTCTTCATATCGCACTTCACAAGGTACAAAGGGAACGTGCCATCTCGTGGGTCCATAGGCGGTTCATAAGCGGCGTTTAGCTGAAGGATAATAGCATAGTTCTTCAATTCCTCGCTATCTGAGTGCAAATCTCTTGATGCTCGTTCTTCCACACCTTCGTTTGGTAGAGTCTAGAGAAGCAATATGTATGCATAGCAGCAATCTGCAC